GCTCGAAACAGGAGTGCGGAGATGGGCAAAGTTGGTTCATCTCAACAGAGGCCACCCACCCTCCCTTTCTGGCCTCAAAATCGGGGGAAGGCTCCATCGCGTTCTCGGGAGGAGGCTTCTCCCGAGAAACCCGGCTTGCGGGGGGGAACGCATACCAAGCCATTCTTCAATCCCACCGCTCTGGGCGGCACCGTCGAATTGGCTGATGGCCCCGCGTACGTCCTCAAAAAGTGTAATTTTGCTGCCCAATCAGACAAGGATCGGCTGAGTTGGAGAGTGAGAGAGGGACGACCAGCCGGTCCCACGGCACTGTCGAAGAGGTGAAGAAAAGAAGGCAACTCTTGTGTGGCGTTCTACGCCCGGCTACTTTGTGCGAGCCGACGAAGAAACATCAACACAGCCTGCTTTGCTGCATGGCCATGGCTGAGGTATCTGTGAGGGGTCGAACACCACATTTGCTAACGTTTTCTTGAAAATGCAGTTTTCTGTAACGGCAATTTGCAACCCATGCCTTGTGTGTCCCTCCCTCACCCCCGGCCACTGTGATCGTCTCCCCTCATTAATACTTATACACATATCGTGTACGCCTCTTATCAAGCCCACCTGACGCGAGGGGTGGCGGTGGTGGGTGGTGTATAGATGTCATGGCCTAATTGGGGACAGCCGTACTCGGTGTTGTATTCTTGACCGAGAGAGGCATGGGTCTATAACTACACCCAACGTTTATCTCGTTTCCGGGTTTCCCTCCCTCCGTCATGTTGTTTGTCTTCTCGTCGCAAATTGAGCCTTTTCTCGTTGGTGCCTTAAGAAAACTGCCGCAGCCGCTTTCTGCTGCCCTCTGGCGCCTCAACAATCCAATCATTGTTTCATGCCCGTTTGTCTCGCACAATGACCTAGGTACAGCCCCGGGAGTTCGCATCAAGTCTGCATACGACGTATCAACTAGAGGCAAGTCATGACCAACAACGCGCCAGCAGAGGAGGCGGTCCGGCCGAGACTGGACACCAACACCAACTGGGCCCCGCCGCGGGACCAGCACCCCGACGACCCGGAGTCCGAGGAGCTCTCGCCGCTGTCTCCTGGACGGGAGCCGGCAGAGTACACTTGGGGAGAACAAAAGGAGGGCCATGGACCCGGCGAGGGGGACGCTCGACCGGCAGCAGCCATCAACATCAACATACCGTCTCCTCTTATGTCAAGGACACGTGAGAGTATGGGCAGCATGTCATCCGATATGATGGAGGAGCTGAGAAAGATTATCAAGGAAGAGGGTAAGTCTTTGTTGTCATCGAGTGCCATTCTAGTCCTGCTAATAGGCGGTGTAGTTCAAGCAGCCCAGGTGGTGCATCGTAAGAACAGCGAAATTGGAAACCCCATGGACGCATTCCGGTTCCCGCCCCTTTCCAACCAGAACCCCGCCTTCACGCCGGCGTATCCCAGCCCACCTCCATCGGTGATTGAGACGATCAATTCCAAAATCTCATCTCCGAGAGAGCGGAGCCCGGAAGTCACCGGTGCGAAGGTGAACTCGGCTCCTCATCTCGCGCCTCCACCGACGTACGTGCCGCCGTCGGTGTCTGAGCCCGAGGCCACACCGCCCATCAGTCCTCAGCAGAGGGCCGTCCGCTTCAGAAACCGTGGGCCACCGGTGATTCACTGCCAAACTCGCATCGAGCCGGAGGCCGTCTCTCCCACTGCCCCTGGTCCGGGACGGGTTGAGTTGAGCAGTGTCGACAAGGCTTGGGGTGTCTTGTTTGATCTGGAGGGTTATGGTACTCAGCGTCTGAACTCTGTGCTCAGGGGTTTGGCGAACTACATGGTACTGTTCACAGGTTCTCACAATCGAAATTGGCGGTCACTAACAATCTTCAGATTGCGGAGTTCAGCCCTCCCGAGACTCTTGTCGTTACCCCTGAGAAGATGCTGTGCTTGTACACAAAGTATAAGATGGAACCCGAGAGATTCCAATACGAAGGTAAGAACCTCTTCAACAAGACCATCCCCTCTCTAATACGTCGCAGATATCTTCCGCTCCCGCTCAAAAGATGCCCTCGAGAGAATCGAATACCTTTACCAAGACTTGGACTGCCAATACCACCTCGTCCAAAGCACATCAAACCCTAAATCCAAACCAAACGTCCCCGGGCTTACACCCATCGGCTTCGCAAAGTGGATGGTCAGCAACATCCTCGCCTATCCCGATCCCGAAGCTCGCCGCCTCCACACCATCATGTCCTCGCTCCCCATCAACGCAGACGGACCCCTGGTAGACGGCAAAGCAGAGAGACTTCCGAAGCAATTATCCAGACACCTCTTCCCCGAGCATCACGACAAAAAGACCCGCTCGATCCTCGACGAGGCCGTGCTGGACTGCCTGGACGACGCCGCGCCCCCTCTCCCGTCCATCCCCCGCTCGAGGCCGAGCCCCTCCGACAACAGGCCCGCCGAGGCAAACATCCACTCCCGGCGCTCGTTCGACGACAGAAAACGTCCCAATCTGATGACGCAGCAGCGCTCGAGGACGTACGACAGGGGCACGAACCCCCAGGCCGCACGGCTCCCCCGTGCCAACTCGGACGCGGGCGCCTCCGTGCCCAGACACCGCGACCTGTCCCCGCCGCCGATGGGACGACACTCTGGTGGCGGCTCCTTCCAGCGCCGTCGCAGCCCGCCGCCCGTCAACCGGTACAGCGCGTCGCTCCCCGCGATCTCGCAGGTGCCGTCTTCGTCCTCGCATTTTTCCTCCTCGCTCTCCTCAGACGTCAGGGGCGGCGAGGGGAACTACGGCGTGTACTCTGGCAGGGACAGGGGCGATGAGAGGGAAGAATCGCCGAGGTCGCCTGGGCTCGGGAGGAGGAGCGTCGGAGGGGACCGGGGACCGACATGGGAGGATATGTACAGTCGCCCGGGGCGAGGATCACTTGATGCGAGCTCTTCGCGTTCGTTCCGTTGATTGAAGCGTTGGTTTTGGTCTGGGGAATGTTTGGGAATGATAGCTTGGGCGGTTACGATTGATGACTTTGATGACTAACGCATGTTCATTTCCGTTTTGGATCGTTTTGTTTATGCCGTTTCACTGCTTTTTTGTCATTCGCGGATTTGTATTTGGGAAAGGGTCCGCGTTGTTGGAAAATTATCGGTGGGATGATGTCGTTTCTCGATTGGGGATAGGTCCTGTCAAAGTGAAAAGTTATTTCGTCTCTCGGACCATTCGCCGAACCGCATCGCTCAAGTTGACTTTTGACTAGTTGACATCTTGTCACGATACACTTCGCCGAGGCATTGGCCCGTCCACTTTCTGATTTGTCGGTTGCGCGTCCAAGTTGTAAGGGGCCGAGTGCGTCTATCGGAGGATGCCGCAGTGAGGCTTCGACCTTCCCTCCGGTCTGTCCCACCGGTCCTCCTCCTGGTGGGAACTGAATGATGGAGTTTTCTTTTGTTTGACTAGTGCTTCAGCTAATTATGGTATTGTGTCGTCGTGGACAGAACCAGTATACATCTAGGTTTGCGGCTGGTGATATTAATCATCTCGGGATCCCATTTCACGACTTTGGTACGAGGGCCTCGTCTGCTTAGGAATAGTTGTCGAATGACCAGAAAGCAGTAATGCATTGGCTCTCTCACGCGGTTCTCATCCTGTTGGCGGGCGTCACACCAGTCCTCTGCGTGGAGCCAGCAACCTCTCCGCCTTCGCCCACTAAGACGCAAACCTCTTCCAATTTCACCGTACCTCTCACAGCCTACAACGCCGAGGTAGAAGAAACTGGGGTGCCAAAAACATCAGCACCCATACTGGAGGCTAAAACAAGCGCTGCGAACGATCACTGGGGGTTTTATCTCTTCAGGACGACATATGACGACAACGATCTTTGGGAGCGATACGTTGAATACATCCGCAAAAGAGCCAACGAGAGCATTGATGAGTATGATGAAGGACATGAATGGCATCCTCATTTTCGTCTCTTTGTCATCGAGGGACCTGACTTGAGAGGTGCCTCGATTGAGCATGTCAGGACTCGATTTGCGACGTGGCGCGACAGACCTAACATTAGGTCCCACGGGTTTTACTCAGACATCGCCCCGAGCAAGTACTTTGACGAATATGTTCTCTCCAGGTTCCCGCTGTATGCGGATGCGGAGTGCCTGGAGTCGTTCCGCGTCTACACCCAGCTGAGAAACGGGTCTCGCGAACAGGCGGAGCACAAGGTGCTGGTGAAGGCAATGAATGTCGAGGGTAGCGACAGCTATGTGCTTAAGTGGAAGAGAGATTATTGGAGAAACCCGGATTATCGGTGGATGCTTGTGAGTTGTGAGGAGCTGGTGCAGTATTGGGATATCATGTCGTCGAGTTGGGGTGGTTGGCATGAGCAGTATATGAAGTTTAACGGCGGGGAGAAGAGGAGGCCTTGGGAGCCGCTGATTCAGCATGATGAGTTGTAGCCTTGGTGAATTACCTGGTTTCATCCTTCACCATAGTCTTGATGCAGTACGATATGTCGATAAATGATTGTATCGTGAAGAATGAAGGTTTTTGTACATTGACCGTTGTCACTAAGATGAGGATCCCGAGCCACACTGACAGCGTGAATGCTTGCGATGTCCCCATAATTAGCAATCGCCGGCCGCCCGAACGGCATGGGGCCGATGGTGGGGCCGATCACGACGTACAAGTGGCAGTGAGCACCACGGGAATGTACACCGGCTCTACATTTATCAACTGACCGCATTCATCAAATCTTGCTTTCTCAAGTTAGGATTGAACTAATCTTCCCCTCGCCCAAAGGTTTTCTTTAAACTTTCTAACTGACTCAAAGTGTTGCCCGACCCACCTTGACATTCAAGCTTGAGGTTTCGAATTATGGTTCATTGCTTTTCTCATTCATTCTCTCCCACAACTATTGACCCTCACTACAATTACATGATTGTTGTCTTACATCTCATATACCTCGCTTGAATTAGGGTTCAAGGAACATCAGAACTCAGATGGTTCGAACATCCCATTATACACGAGCCGTGGCGTCCTTCTGCTTCTCCTGCTCGAAAGTATTCTTATGATACTGAACCGCGTTATTGTGCGGAACAGCAGGGGGACCCACATCTTGCCTGAAGATGTACCGCTTCCAAAAGTAGAAGAACTGCGCTAGTCCGTGCCGCGCGAACTTCCTTGTCGGTACACTGAATACAGCATCCAGCTCCTCGAGACTCTTACGATTGGTTTCAGGGAGAAAGAAAAGAACGAGGAAAAATCCAATGACGTTCCAGCAAGCATACCAACTGAAACCCCCCTGAGGGGTGAAGGCCGTCTGCAAAGAGGGCCAAGTAACAGCCAGAACGAAGTTGAAGAACCAACAACATGCTTTCCTGACCGAACCGATGTCGATCATAGCCATCTTTTCTTCCGAACCCTTACATGGAAGGATTCAGACGACGACACAATCATGCTCATCGTCTCCTGCCACTCCAACGAACCCCGGCTCGCTTACCACTCCTCCAACCCTTCACCTCAAGCCATCCAATAAGCGACCTCGCGGCAAGATGCGCAGCGCCATCATCGGACCATCTCTGGCGTCACATGGAAGGGGCTCTTCACATGGGTATAAGGCACGCCCAGAGAAGTCAAGAGTTGCCTGCCGTCTTGTCGCAGTGCCCAAAAAGCGCTGCATGATCCTGCCACGGCTGCGTTGTGCCGCATTGCTTGGCTTCTGTTGGACCTATTGACATCATTTCAATCATCTAGGCATCTTCAAAAGGGACAGGGGAAGGTTGACGAGGGAATCTTTTACTGGAGAGCTGTTGATCTGGCACTTAGAAGTAAAGCCAATTAGGTAGAGAATTCAATCAGAGACAATAGGAACAATAGAAATGATAAGGACGACGGGGACGACGGGGACGACGGGGACGACGGGGACGACGGGGACGACGGGGACGACGGGGACGACAAGTACGGCAGTAACAACAAGGCTTCTACCACTCTACCTGGTTAGCAGGACTCATGATCAAAGGTCCAGTAAAAATCCTTCAAGTAAGATATGTCCAGATCTGGACTATTCGATTGACTTTCGTGTCATAGTGTTTCGGTGAGAGACTAGTTACGCGCTTAAGCCTAAGACTAATTAGGGTCTCCATTGAAGAAGGTTAGCGGGTCACATTCAACGGCGCTGCAGCAACTACGCCCAACTCCATGTCGTTGCAAAAGATAAAAGAGTTTTCCCACTAAAGAATGGTGCATCATATTGAAAGCCAAACAAACATAGCCAATAGTTGACTATTACTTTGCTGGTCCCAGTCAAGTATCGTGCTTAGTACGTCATATGAGGACCGCCGTACCGCCAGGGGTCTTAAGAGTAGTGGGGCACCTTGCATAAGGGCCCCCTGTTGCCGACTCGTCACACTACTCCTCCTGCCATCAACATCATCGCCAGTGGAAGTCAACAGCATTTATCGGTACATATTATTTCAAACTATACACGTTAAATCTGCGGACTCACCCAAGCGGTCCTCTATACCGCTAATACAATCTCCGTCTGGATTCTTGCCCTCATGCGGGTGATGGCACTGATCACATTGGCAGCCAGGGCGGCATGTGTGCCCTGCAGGTTCCTGTAAGTGTTTTCCATGGAATCCAGGCGAGCGGTGACATAACGCCGGGAGAAATTGACGGCGCGCTGGTTCCATAACGGCTGGAACTCGTCGATGAGCGTAACGAGTCGCTCAGGCCGGTTGGGGAATGTCTGTTAGTGGGAAAAGGTCAGTCGCGATCTTCCTTTCTTTGAAGAGGGGCCAAAGTTCTTACCCTGGCGTACAGGTTGTCGAAGACGGCCAACGCGTCCCGTCGGCCATCAAACAAGTCCGTTCGATATTGTGCAATGCCGTTCATGTAATTCCACATGGCGAAAACAGCACGGATTGACGACAGAGCGTCTTCGGCGTTGGCGAGACTTGGATTGTTCATCCACGTGTTCCAATTGTCATCGCTGACGCCCTGGCCTTCGGTCGTGTACATTCGTCCCTTCAACGACTGCGTGACGGGTTTCCAAGTCAGCAACAATGGTCCAAAGCATATGATTGCAAAACCACTCACGTTGAGGGCTCTTGCCAGATTGACCATGACATCTGGGTTGCTTGATGATCCATAGGCATCAGCCACAGCCTCGGCGGCCGAACCTGCCGGCGGGTCCGCCTCGACGCTAGCTGGTACCCAAAGCCGGTAGTCGTGGGCAAAGTAGTTGAACAGATTGGCGAAGCTGAAGAGACTGTTCTGGCTCTGATAGATCGTGGACAAGCCCGGCTCATTGTCAGCCATGTCGAGCTGTCCGGTCTGGAAGAACTGGGCGGCATGATTCGGGAAGATGGATCGGTCGTCTACGTGATCCGACTCTACAGTCTGATAGTTCACGCCTTGGACGCCGGCACTGGTGGCGGAGGTGTCCTCACAGTCGTTGGGATTGGCGATACTCCACCGTTCGTTGCGGCCTAGTTGTTCGAGGTCAGTCTCTGTTTTCATCGGCTTGTGACCCTGCAGGGCCATATCAACTTACCAGTCTCAGCATCGAGGGCGGCTCCGTTGTTGCCGTTGGGATAGGTTGGAAACTGGAAATTGAAGCCATCGGCGGTACCACCGTTAGCATTGGCATCCAATATTGGATAGTCTTCAGTCGACCCTCCACTAGGACCAGCAGCTCGCTCGTCCAAGCTTCTGAAGTGTGCCTTCTCACGTTCGCTGAGGTCACCGAGATGCTCTGGTTTGAAGGTCAAATCCAACCCGGCGAAGCCTCTGCGCTTCAAGTCGTCGTCGTCGTCGTCCGTGCTGTTATCAACAAAGAAGTTGTAATAGCAAATCAGTTCGGCAGTCGTACTGTTGTCGCTACACCCCATGAAAGACTTGTCACCGAAGACAGCATATCCGTTGATATTGGGTGCCTCGCGCTCAGGAGGTTCTTCGCCGCCGGTGAAGACGACGGCAGGACTGGCCACGCTGCCTATGTTGTGCGTGGTTCCGTCATCCCATCCAGATTGGATCGTTCCTGTCTGGACCACATCGGCGGACGCGGCCTGAGGCGCATCGATAATTCCAGGGGATCCTGTTCCAACATCATCGACGATATTGATGGCGTGAACCAGTCGAGAAGTGAACTTGGCACCGGCATTCTCCAGGGACGTCTCGTAGCCGAAGAGCTTGAGCGTCATGGTAGTCTCCAGGACCATGTTCATGGCGAAGATGGAGTTGAACGACCCGCCAGTTGCTCGCTTTGTGCTACCAGCAGAGTCGTCGGGGACAGACAGATATCCAGTGGCAGCATTGCTGATTCTCTTGTCCTTCACGGCCCCGGAGAAGTCTCCAAGCCCCGGCGGTGCATTCGTGCGCAACGTCTCGGACGACGCCAGCTCGAAGTCGACGTCAAACTGAGCGTCGATGGCGCCGGAACCCCTCAATGACACCTCACAGTTGAGCGATGGTGAGAAGGACACGATGCCTGGCTGAGAGGCTTCGAAGTTGGTGATGGCGCTCGAGAACATGTCGCGCGCCACACCGTCGCCGCTGTTAATGTCGAGCATGCCCTTGCCGTCAAAAGACAATGTCGCCGACATCAACAGGTCAGAGTCAAAGTACCCGTACGCCTCCTCGACTGACAGTGTCGGCGAGATGGTCCCCACGAGCGTAAAACCGAACCGCATCTTGTTGCTCATGGAACCTGACAGGCTGATCTTGAGGAAGCCGTCGTCCTCGCAATCGTTGTCACTGCCGTCATTGCCATAGATCAGGGAGGTGAAGTCGCTCTTCTTGATAGCCGGCTGAGTGTTTTCGTTGTACGTCGTGGTTCGAATACCCTCAATGATGGTTTTCCAAACCGAAGACAACTTGCTCCAGAAGCGCGACTCGAGGGGATGTCCGTCAGCACCATCGCGCTTTCTCTTCGCAGCCGCGGCTTCGACTACTTGCTCATAGTACTTGTGGGTGTCAGAGTAGTCCACTCGGAAGTATATGTCACCAGAGTCCCTTTTGGCCACGCGCGAGAAGTCGTAACTGTACTCGAGTTCCATGACTTTGGCGTTAGCAGGGGCTCCCCTCTTGATAAGCTTGTCGGGCACGGCATGGGTCGTCCCTCGTACTGAATGAGCCACAGCATACTTGCCGAAGCCCATGTTATCAGGCATGCGCAGAACTGTGCCCTCGAGACCGCCCATATGCATGTCGTCGCAGTTGCTCTTGGCCGAGTCATCCATGCAAACGAAATAAGTCGATTGGGCTTCCTGTCCGTGGTGTAATCCTCGGGTCAGAAACTGCAAATGAGAGCCTCCCTCACGCTTGTCCAAGTTCGAGACGGTGCCTGACGGTCCATCGATCACGACAAACAGGAAGGCTGCCACCGTAGCGTCGTCATTGTCGGCCACATCTCCAGCGGTGTATGAGAGAGGCTGCAGCTCAAAGACCGGCACGTCGCCGGTGGGCGGCAACGTTGGGAACAAGTCTTCAAGGTCGACAGGAAGGAATGGATTGACGTTATCCGGGGTGTTGCAGCAGAGCGGCTTTTGCCTCGAACTGAGACCGCCTGCGCAGAGAGATCCAGTGTCGCCCGAAGGATCCAGGGCCACCTCGACATCGGTAGATGAGCACTCGTTGTCGTCACACGTGCCCTTGCCGACCCAATGACAGTTCTGGAAGTCGTAAGGGCAGCAGAACTTCTGCTTACATGATGAAAAGACGGCCTTGTAGATGCTGCGCGAGCTTACTTCATAGGGGGAGTCGGCTGGACAGTCACCGCAGCCGTCAGCCCAGTCGCATCCATCAACATAGCTAGCCCACGTGTTGCTCTCGCAACAAAAGGCTTGCTTCCCAGGGGCTAGACAGTACTGTGATCCTCGACTGGAATGCGTTATCGTCGTTTCTCCAGCATGGCACTGTCCATGACACGATCCAGAGCCGCGCCAGGTACACGATTGGGGCATAGCATTTGTCGGGCAGTAGACGTGCTTATACATGTAGCCGTGAATGTCACTGCCGCAAGTATCTCTGAACTTGCCGTTGGGCGCGGTGGCCCAGCCCGAGGGAGCAACCTCGTACTGGCTCACGCAGTCGCTGACCTTGCAAGCCTGGCCATTGACAGATGCCCATTCGGCCGTCTTGGCGACGGATGCACGTTCCAGATTCAGCGAGAAGGACGGCAGTGATTCTCCGAGGAGGCCTTCGAGTGCCGAGAAGGATGTATCGTCTTGGTCGACGCTCCATATCATGACACCGCCGAGGCCGACCTCGTTAGCCCAGTCGACTTTCTGGGCAAAGGTTGTGTTGTCGTCGTAGCTAACCCACATGTCCTTGTCGTCGCCGTACACGATATAGTTGGCCGCGGCCGCCTTGTCATACACGACCTTGGGATCTTGGTCCGCAATG